CTCTCTCTCTCTACCTCTACCTCTCTCTCTACCTCTACCTCTCTCTGCTGCTAACTCCGTCGTTCTCAACACTTCTGTCTCTCTGCTGAATGAGAGGAAATCATTTCACAATTTCAGATGCAACGCGACAAACATACAAGTCGATCCACATCGGTCACCAAAGGTTTTGTTGTGAAGGGTCGAAGGATAAAACACAGGTGTCTTATAGAAGTACGCAGCATATTCAGTATATTTTGTAGAGAAACATTGACCATGTAAAGACAACTGCGTGCCTCTTCTTCATCTGAGACTGTTGTTCCTTCTCCATGTTGGAGAACCTCTGCTTTTTGATCTAGCGCCATCATCAGGTCAACATTTTATTGGTTCATGACCAAATTTACAGACATTGACATCAGCCTCAGCTGTACTTTGTGCACCAGAAGCATTTATTATTGGAGAACCCGGGTTTGAAGAGAGGCTTTGTCTTTGTGAGACCGAGTCCATGAAAGAGGCTTGTTTTCCCCCAGAGCTTGAGATTATTTCAGCTAAAACTCTTTAGCTGCGTCCGGCTGCTGTACGATACATTATATTTGTTTTCTTCCGATTCAAATGAACTTTATTGTCCCGCACGAGGAAATTAGTTTTCTCCAGAACTCCAGTCATGAGGACGCCATAAAAATCAATAAAATCAAAAGCGTAACAAACACAATAAGACCACAATAGGCCAGTTGTCCCGCCCCTCCTCCATTGTGATTGGACGGCTGGGTGAAAAGTGACGATGACGAGCGTTTTAACCAAAGTTCAACCTTTTCTTTAACTCCGTCAAACGCCAAAGGAAACGCTGAACATGCAGCGCAGAAGAGAGACAGAACGCCTGTCAGGGTTCCTTTAAGAACCCATTTTTATCCACTGAACCCTTTATGGAAGAAAGACTTCTTCGAGGACTGTTGAATGCATGTCTCCAAAAACTGACTGTGGACCAGGATTGTTCTTTAGGGTTCTAAATAAAAACGTGTACAACTTTTCTGATGTCTTTCTTTCACACTGAAATGCTTCTGTTTCTTCTTACCATCTGTTGTCGTATTTACCTCCTTATTACTTTATATTTACCTTCTTTTTTTGATCTCATCTCTCATTCATTTGGTTCATTTTACTTCCTTGTTTTTGTCTCCTCCTCCCATCCAATCAGTGCCCTCCTTTTCCATCTGTCTCCTCTCTCCCCTCATCTCATTTCATCTCTCTTTCTTCCTGTTCTTTTCTCCTCACGTTATCTCTCCTACAGTATGCCCTCGCTCCATCTTCCTCTCCTTCTGCTCTTCCCTCTCTTCCTCCTGTCTCCTCTAATACTCCTCCGTCCATCTCCTCTCTCATTTATCTTCCTCATCCTCCTTTCTGCTTCACCTCCTCTGAACCTCCTCCTCCTCCTGACTCTCCCTGTAGCCACGTGTCACAGTTGGTTTCCCGATAGCCTGCCAGCATCACGTCGATAGGTTTCATGTGACATGCGTGGTCAGCTAGCTCCAGGCTAACTCTTGAGCTTGTTTTTTAGCCAAAAGGCAGCGCTGCTGTGAGCTGGACGACGGTCTCTTTTATTCACACACACGGAGGTTTGTTGTCATGGTTGTGTCATTCAGTGTCTGTCAGCCTGCTGCTCTCAGCGTAGCCCGTCTGCACAGATACTAGTCCGTTCTGACATGTCACCCAACACGGCAGAACACAGTACACGCAGTACACGCAGTACACACAGTACACGCAACACAGCAGTACACACAACACACAGTACACACAACACACAGTACACACAACACACAGTACACACAGTAATAAATGCATTGAATCCTGCAGTCGTGGCTTGAACTAACTAAAGCTCCTTTATGGCTCATTTAGTCGACGCACCTGAAATGATCTTCCTCCTCCTTCAACACTTTCTCTCCGCGGTGACTCTGAGCCAGAACAATACGTTTATTTCAGCCTCCAGAGGAGGAAAGTATTTACAGGCCTGCAGACTCACTCTGCTGTTTATTTGGTTTTATGTCCGACAGATGAAACCGAATGAAGCCCGATCTGTTTCCATCTGTGTTCTGTTTACATTTCATCACTGCTCCAAAGAAAAACTCAACTTCTTAGACTCGTATGAATCGAAGTCACGAGAGCTTTTCACACTTGCGTGTCTCAGATAATCTAAACCTGAGGCTGCAGAGAGATCTCTATCTGCTGGATGTCAGACTAAAGCTGGCAGTGAGCTCTGGGCTGGTTTCACCTGATGGTTAGAAAGGTTTAGTCTGCAGAACGACCCCAATGAGACCCAACAGGCCATGCACTAGGAGGTTATAAACACTAACAGGTCTGAACCAACCCCAAGAACCCTGTTTTACTTTTAGCCACCAAAACCAAACGTTTCCGTTTTCATTTCACACATTTTTTTTAATCAAACATTCTGTTTTATCTTGTAGCCAGGAACACGGCGTCATCCCCCGGGAGACAAATCTCTTTTATCAACATCTTCTTCTTTCATATGCAAGAACTTATGTGTAACTTTGGGATCTAAACTTTAAAAAACAAAACTCTCAGAAACCATACAGAAAGATTACAAGGAGACCAGAAGAGCTTCAGAGAGACACAGAACTATTACAAACAGATGCAAAACACAAACACGACTCAACAACTACTAAAAGGCCAAAACAAACACAAAGAGACCAAACAGAACTACACAGAGACTAAAATGACCAAAAAACTCAAAAACTAACAAACAACACTCTCAGGATATATACAAAGGCACACACTACAGATAAAGGACAGCCTCTCTGGCCCATTAAATCATTGAAAAACAACAATAATAAGTCAAAGCCCAAAGTGCCATTCATTGAAAAGACCACCATCACGTCGTCCTCACAATCAACTCTGATCGTCCTCTGAGTTTGACTTCCTGACAACAAAACAGCTCAACAACTGCAACACATTCCAGCATCTCTCGCTCAAAAACACAACAAGCTCCGCCCTCAGCTGGGAGGCGTGTCCAGCTCCAACATCCACAGCTCCGCCTCCTCACTGTCCCGGCTTCTGAGTCATGTGTTTTCTCTTTCCAGTGATGAAGACAGAAGACGTTCCACTCACCCTGCGTCGCCGCTGCTCCCACAGATTAAGGCATCCTTGGCTCCCTCCACCTTGTAGAAGTTGTCTAGAAAAACAAGAAGAAACTTTAGATTCAGTCTGAAGTCGGAGCTCAGTTCAGGAGGATCTTCCTGCTCGTTCCACTTAGTTTGCCTAATTAGACCTCAGGACTGTGTGCGGTAGCTCTCCTCGACCCTCCTGTTGGTTTTAATTTATACTTTTATCATATAACATAACTTAGCACAGGTCCAAGACGACTAAGAACAGCTGTGTAGGTGTGCAGGACCTGACAACAAGATGAACATCTGAATGTAAAAGGACAGCAGGGGACGCAAACACTGGGACTAAACCATTAAGACATGTTCAGTAGAAACTTAATAGTGTCCCTGAAGAAAGAGTCACAAGACACACACACTGAACTCCTTGTTACAACAAACACAACATGCCAGCATCTCATTTGTTTGACACCGGAAAGTCAGATAAAGGACAGAATCGTCGTCAATTAAGTCTGTGATTTCTTTTTCTTCACTTTATTGACACAAAATACAAATTTTGCGACTGTTGAATGTTTTTTGGGCAGTGAACCCAAACCTCAAACCGACTGACGGACCAGTTAACACTCTTTAATTGGTTTAGCACTTGTAATATGTTTCTGTTTAGGCACTTGTTTTTGTACAAATATGTACTTAAATGTAAAAGGTGCAACATAAGATATTCAGCGCATTAATATAGCATCAAAAAGCTATAAAGATATGGAAGACTAAAGTCAGTGCTGGTTGCAACATTAGCGTTGTTTGCACCATTAGCGCTGTTTGCACCATTAGCGCTGTTTGCACCATTAGCCTCTAGCCACCGGCTCAGCCGTCGCCATGTTGAGAGCTGTTGAGAGGCAATCGAAAAGCTTCCAATCCCCATACAATGCAACCTTTGGTCTTCATCTTGTATTTGGTCCAAGGTAGTTCAAGTTTAAACAACTGTATAGCATTTGATGACAGAGGAAGACATAATTCTTTCATATTCTACCGTCAAAGTTACACCGAAAGCTCTAAAATGAATGAGTTCAGGTAACCCTTCCTGTGCTTTTAGTGTTCAGCTCAGTGTGCCTGCCTGCCTGCGTTACCGCAGGATCAATAGACTCACCAACCTCAGCGATGTGTGTTTTGGTCTGTCCGCTGAAAGCCATAAACACTGAACGATTAACGGGAACAACCGTTTGCTGAGCATTTATTCAACACTTTAAATCCGACCACAGACCATCTCCAAGTACATTAAAACACTCTTCAAGTACTTCTCCGCCCCAAGTACACTAAAGTATCCGACACGAGTTTCAGAAGCTTTTAATGCACATCGGCGGGAAGAAAACAAGAGCTCCTCGAGTCGCGTTGTGGTTTAAGGACTCTGTTTTTATTCCAGAGGATGAAGAGGAATGGATTCAAGCAGCTCTATAGATCCAGATGTTTGACATTCAACGTCCAGCAGTGGAAGAGTTTGGATAAAGACGACATGAGTGAATTGACCCCAGGAATCAAACGATCGGCTCTATGATCGAGGGACACTTTTCAGTCAAACCTCAGCCAAAGAGCCACGAAGCATTTTAACATTTCAAAGTCTTCATCTTCTTCTTCATTCTTCATCTTCTTCTTCTTCCTCTCTTCTTCATCTTCTTCCATCTTTCTTCATCTTCTTCTTCTTCTTCTCTGCTTTATTGACAAACCAAACCGGTGTTTGTTGACCGCGTCTGACCGCTGCTGCTGCACCAGAAGGCACTTAAGCCCTTCAGCAGTGCAGACGTTCATTTGTTATCGAGTGCATCTGGGAGACCGCGGACTCACATTTAATAACGTTTTTTGTTTTTATCAGAGCGACCCCCGTCTGAGAAGACTTTACAGAGCTGCACAAACCTGGAAGATTGTCTCCACAGGGCATCGAGAGAGAGAGAGAGAGAGAGAGAGAGAGAGAGGAGGAGGGGGTTCATTTCAATTATTTTCATTCAAGAGCAGCAAATGACTCTGACGAGCCTAAATACCCCCCCCCCCACCTAGTGCATCTACATCTGAGAGAGACGCGTTTACATGATGAAAATCTGCAGGTATGAGAAGTGCGATATACTGAGACGCTGGTAATCTGCTCCCCAACGAGGTAAAGACCTCAGTCAATGATTCATTTTACTGTCAGAACACGGAACAAAAGCAGCAGCAGCAGAACTCATGTCGGCTCTTTGACGAGGTCGTTTATATTAGGATACGGTGATAACCTGAGCCGGTCGCATGCTGGACAGATACCTTCTAGTTTCTGCAGCTCTATCATTTATTCCGGCTTCCTGCCTTTCCTTCCTTTCCCACACGTGATTGGCTGGGCTCTTTTTATACAAAGAGATATTATAAATTCCCTCAGTAGAAACATTGGACTCTGATATGTCAACAACATGAAACAAGAATTTTGAACCCGACTTTATCCAATCTTCAGATTTCTGATCTGGAAATGTATGCAAATAAGTACATATTTAATGAGCTAACGCCTCATTTGCATGTTTAAACATAACATTTCAGAAAACTTGTGAAAGAATTGTCTTAATGTCAGTAATCAGCTGGTGAGGTTTCATGTTGATCTCTATCAGTTAACTGTATTTTGACTTTATTCATCTGTAGTGTTTCCCATGAATACATCAGCTCTATCTGCTCATCAGAGGGGAAACTCTCCATGTTGTCTGTTGATTTTCACTTGCTGAACCCTCCAACAAAGAAGCACCGGACTCTGACCAGACGGAACAAACAACGAGCATGATGGGAAATGTTTAAGCATGGAGAACATTGATCTCCCACTGAGGGCCGTTTTCAGATCAGCCCAACGGGACGGGAGCTTTAACAGCGCGTTTCCCAGCTCTCGGGTTTCACGGCAGCTTTTAGGGGTCGATACGGGAGCCTGCGGGGGACATTTGTTTGATGAGATGGATGGCAAAGCCAACTGGAAATGAATAAATAGAAGGTACATTAGCAAAGGTGCAGCATGTCCCGACGAAACCCTGTTACTGTAAGCTCAGAGTTGCCTTATTTTCGGCAGTGTCTCCCTTTGAGAGACGGATTAACTTAAAACGGATTAAGCAGAGTAACTTGAGTACGCAACACCGTAAAGATTGGAAAAAATATAAAACGCACAAATGAATTAATGTAGCAGGACGGTCACTGCGGCTGCCATTTCAATAGCAATGCCGTAGCGACCATAGCGGGCTAACTTCCGTGTAAACCAAACAGACTTACGGCGAGTCACGAACTCACTGAGGTGAGGTTTTGGTTCACCCACATCGCCGGATGATTGTTTGTTCGGCTACTTTTCTGTGAACAGCGTAGCATTAAAGCATGGTGGAATTAACAAGCTAACTAGCGGGCGAGTTAGCTAGCTTGCTAATTCCACCATGCGTTAATGCTACGCTGGTTACAGGTAAGGTCTCTCCGCCTCACTCCCCACCACTCTGGAGTAGGACGCGCTAACTAGCTGACTAGCTAACAGGCTAACTAGCTAGCCATCTGCAACAACACTTTGCAGATCTACTGACGTGTCGTCACAGGAACAACTAACAAAAAACTAATTAAAAGATGGTAAAAGAAGAAATACTTTATCAAGTTCAAGTTAAATCAGTTTCATTCTGTATTAACGTTCAGAGAAAAATACATATGAACGTGTGCAGCCACATGCAGGTTCAATATTGGTCACACGCCGTGTAGCTGCGGTTTCATCTGACAGCAGCGTTAAGTGTTTCCTTAACCCTGACCTCGACCTGTGTGTGTGTGTGTGTGTGTGTGTTGCTTTTACTGTATGTGCTTATGTATACTGTGTGTGTGTGTGTGTGTGTTGCTTTTACTGTATGTGCTTATGTATACTGTGTGTGTGTGTGTGTGTGTGTTGCCTTTACTGTATGTGATTATGTATACTGTGTGTGTGTGTGTGTGTGTGTGTTGCYTTTACTGTATGTGMTTATGTATACTGTGTGTGTCCACATAACATATATTATGCTCCCTGGTCAACATGACTGACATGAAAAATCAAATAGTGTATAGACCAACTGACCTCACATGACCTCTGTGTGTGTGTGTGTGTGTGTGTGTGTGTGTGTGTGTGTGTGTGTGACGTCTAGTATGTACTGTTTCTGGTAAACTGCCCAGCTGAACTGCCTGTACACACACACACACACGTGACTCTGTGGTTACAACTGCCGTCAATAAAGACACACGCACACACACACACACACACACACACACACCAAGTAGAGAAGCCACTCCAGCAGCTGATCACAACCAAAGCAGCAGTGAGGCTCTCACCCTCGTCGTCGATGAAGTCCTTCAGGGAGTTCCAGGTCTTGTTGTTGCAGTAGAAGGTGGTGTTGGCCGGCAGGCTGCCGTTGAGGCAGTGCAACGTGCTGCGGACGCACTTCTGCCGCAGGTTCCCCATGAAGAGCTGCAGGCCGATGAGGGCGAAGACGCTCAGACAGAAGACGGTGAGGATCATCACGTCGGCGAGCTTCTTCACCGACTGGATCAGAGCGCCCACGATGGTCTTCAGGCCTGCCGGACCGCCGGGGGGGACGCAGACAGGGGTTAATAATGATGTTCACGTGAATTTGTTATCGTGGCTGCGAACCCTCATTTAGAAAAGTCTAAATAATTCAAATGAATAATATTTTGTGGAATTAAATCTATGAAAAACGAGCAGCTAGATTAAATAAAAGTTCACAAATCAAACCGCTTTACAGGAACAATACACCCAGAAACAATATAAATCGTGCAGTCTCACTTCCGTAGGTTCTCTATTGTTCCAGAAAGAGTTTGTATCGATCGAATGTATACTGTGTATATAGAAGAATAGGGGAGATGCTGCAATAGCATCCGTTAAATCAGAACTGGAGAGTATTTCTTCATTGAAAGAAGAGCAAAGATCGACACTGAAAAGAAGCTTTTGCTCTTTTTTCCTGACTGGCTTCAGTAATAGTTTGATTGACAGATGGTTCCATCCAATCACCTGCCACGTACGTTGTTGTTTCTTTAAGTGCCCGCCCTTTTACAAACAGTTTCCAATGATGGTTCTAAAGGCAGAGCGCTCGTTGAAAATGCTCTCCAGGTATTTTTAGATGTTTTATAACAATTTTTTGCCGTCTTTCGTTCGTCCTCCGTTGAAGTCTGTTCGTTCAGATATGATTTAATTTTCCCGGTTAAAGAAACTGCAGATAATTTGTTACACAGAAACATCTGAGAAGCCGTCTTTAGAAACGGTTTGGAAAAAGGGAAGGTACATTCAAAAAACATACGTGGCAGGTGATTGGATGAACCATCTGTCAATCAAACTCTTACCGAAACCAGTTGGGAGAAAAGAGCAAAATACATATTTTCCATGTAGAAAATTCTTTCAATAAAGAAATACTCTCCAGTTCTGATATAACTGATGCTATAGCAGCATCTACGCTAATCTGTTCAGGAGCCGCCATTGTTGTTTAGAACAAACAGGAGTCTCTCCGTGTCGTCCCACACACATATAAGCCCCGCCCCCCAGCTTGCCAGTAGCTCATTGGTCAGAACCACAAACATATTACTTAAAGCCTCACAAAAGATGGGTTTTTTGATAGTTCAGCTATGTAACTCTTTCACGGGCAATTCCTTAGAAAACTTTTTTTTGGGACCATAGTATCCGAGGAAGGTGAGTTCTCCGTACGTTTTATATTGTTTTAATCACGGACCAAAAAGATGGCCGCCGACCTCAATCAAAATCTCCTAGCCGCTTCCAAATATCCTAAATATTTCAGGCAAAACCCAAAAAGAGTTGAAGCAACAAATTAGCAAATTAAAAACACTGAAGGTGAGACAGGAGTCAAACCAAAGGGCGGCCATCTTTATGAACCATAGAAGTACATCACAAAATAAATATATAACTCTATATAACTAGAAATATATAACTCTATATAACTAGAAATATATAACTATTTTCAAAAACTTTGCCACTGTGGAAAATAAATAAATCTCTGTGATCAGTACGAAGCAAAACACCACAAACGTACTAATACCACAGCGTAAATACATTGAGATTAAAAACACAACACTCACATGAACATCATGGTAACAACAGCAGGAACATAACACGCTGAGAACACAGAGGGTGCAGACAAGCCGATCCAAGAAGCAGCCAGTTTCTCTTCGTACGTTACTTCATCAGCAACAAACACTTATAGAATAACTCAGAGAGCCGGAGCGTCTGTACGCTAACAAATGAGTAGCGTGAGTATATTCAGATAGTAGCGACATGCTTTGGACATGTTGCTACGACCGTGTTACAGTTGTAACATGTATTAAACATTGTTATGTTTTCAATCACGTGTTTAAGACATGTTTCAGCGCTGCATGCTAACATGCACAGTGGAAACATACACAGGCCAGCCAGCGACTAGAGTTTAGGAAATAGTTTCATATTTTGAATTAAAATGTAAACACTTAGATCTAGACTGAAGACTACGATCAAACTTTGTGTCTTTTGTTAGCAACGAGTAAACGTTGCTAACACAAAACGACGTTTTGTGTGAAGTCGCTGTTCGCTGAGCCTCTGATGTCCTCACAACCAACTATGAGGAAGACTTCAGTACGCCTTCCTGCATACTACCAAAGGGTACTTTATACTTCAAGTGTGTGCGTCAAACACCAGACTGTCTCAGCTGGTAGTATGCAGGATGAGAGTTCAGTTCTTCCAGCAGGCCTCGGGTGCGTTTTTGATACCCGCTCCCCCTGCGTTTGGCTTCCTCACCTGGGATGACTGAGATGGTTTTGAGCGCTCGCAGCACCCTGAACGTCCTTAAGGCTGACACATTACCCAGGTCCACAAACTCAGTCACATATCTGCAACAAGGCGGGAGACAGAAGCACAGGAACAGACACACACAAGGGTTTGACCACACTGAGCAACAACGAGCCGACACAGAGGGACAGAAACATGAATAGAGACAGATAGAGGTACAGTAGAGGTACAGTAGAGGCGGTGCCGGGTCGGACGGCAACAGTGGAGGTTCAAGTCGGAGACGTCGACTGTTTAGAAGAAGAAGTCAGACGGTGGAAGCTGCTCACATGGACGTAAACCGGAGACGAGCTCAGTGTCACGCCTTCAGATTCTGAAGAAGACTTTTAATCTCTGTAGTTCATAAGGGCTTACATTTAATTATTATTTCTATCATCGAGTACCCCGTTCATTTGTTTTCTCAAGTTCAAGTTGCACTACAGACAAATGAAATCTAGTTTCTTCCAGAACCAGCAATATAAATCTTGATTAAAACATTAATTGTTTGGTCTTTTATTATAAAATAATGAAGAATGCCGATAAAGATTTTACGTTTAATGTGATTAAAGACTAACACAACCAGAAAAAATATATATATCATTTGTTGCCGATTCATTTTCTCAATCAACTTATCAATTTATTGACTAATTGTTTGGGATATTGAGTGAGTGGTCACTAGACTAATAACTAGAAAATAATAATGTCAAACCCCACCATTAGCACAGATCCCCTAGATATCTGTTTGGTGAGCTAATGTACCAGCTAGCCTAAAGATACAATCATTAGCATAAGAAGCTAATTGTCACAAGGTTCAGGATAAGGATTAAAAAACGTTTTCCTTCAGTGTTAGCAAACGGCTGTTAGCATGCTGTTTGGTAAGCTAGTAATATCTTATATTAGCTAACGTTAGCCGAAGGAAAAATCTTTGAATTGAAGGCTAATTTAAGTATGTTTAAGCTAAGTTAAGTGATATTATCAGCTGTTACCTTCACATTTTGTAATTGTAGTTAATGTACTTGTTTGAACTGTATCGGTTATCAGTTAGTTTCATCCAATTTGCTTGCTTGTTAGTGAAGTTAATGTGCAGCATTTAGAGGGATTTATCAGCAGAAATGTAGTATAATATTCATAACTATGTTTGCATTTGTGTATAATCAACTGAAACTAGGAATCGTTGCGTTTTCGGAGCCCTTCATATCTACAGAGGGAGCAGGAGGCGGAGTCCGCCATGTTGCGCCTCCATGTTTCTACAGTAGCCCAGAACGGACAAACGGAGCACTGACACTAGAGACAGACTCTCACGCTTTTTTGCGATACCTGAAGGCCACCGTAGTTCTCTACTTGTGAAACTTGCAACAACCTCACCACTAGATGGCACTAAATCCTACACACTGTCCTGTTAAGCTACAAAAGTTATGCTACATACAAAACCACAAAAAAAAAAAATCTGGCTGCTGGATATGTAGCATTAGCATTAGCATTCCACATGTGGGTCGATGTTTTTTTTAATTCCATCTCCAGTTTGTGTGTGTTCAGCTTTTACACATCTGACTTTTCCTTCTCCACTGTGTGTTCAGTTCAGACCACGTGATTACACCGGTGACCCCCGATTGGGCAGAGAGTGGGGAAGTGGGCGGGGTTTAGTGCTGCAAAACACGGCAGACATGGGACGAACAAGAGAGGACGACGTTACGATGACGAGTGTTTTTTCTCTGTCCCTTGTCGCCCCCTGGTGGTGGTGAGGCCTTACCTGGGATGACTGAGATAGTTTTCAGGGCTCTCAGCACTCTAAAGGTTCTCAGCGCCTGCAGGTTCCCTACTTTGATAAACTCTGTTAACAGCCTGTAGGGGGCAGTGTGGTTGGTTGTCAACATACAACAAAAGAAGAAAAAACATAACAAGGTCTGAAAAAGTACAACGCTGTGCACCAAATGATCAGTGTTTAAACATCAATGGAGAGCTGGCAGATGATTTAATCTGCTGTAATACAAGCAGCTTTTTTACAGATGTGGAAAGAAAAGAAACATCAGATCAAATGTAAGTTTGTCTTTTTCACCAAGTTTTCTTTGCATCTAATCACGTGTTTGAGATTAATATTGTGACGTTGAACTTCCGCACATATACTTATCTAATTATATAAGTACGGATATGCGTCATGACGAAGGGTTCAGTTAGTTCCACGACTTTTGAGTTGAGATTTATTTGGAAACCAAGAATTGAACATCCACCCGATGCTGTGTTCACGTGTTTGCTGGAATTTAACTGCAATGAACGGATAAAAAAGAACGCTAAAATAACCACGTTATATTTCTAAATTAATAAAAAGTCTGAATTTTACACTTTGTGAGGTTTATCTGCAAGACGACGAGCAAACAACTTTTAAAACGCTTGTTTTCTGAATGGAGTCTGGATCGTTTCATGCTAAGCTACGCTAGCGCTGTAGCTGATCCATCCACACTCAAAACAGCGTAAATATGGCGGAAACATTATTGTTTACACCACAAGAGTGCAGACAAGTCTATTAACCTCTATTATGTATGTATGTACATACGTACATACATACATACATACATACATACATACATGTATGCATGTACGTATGTACATACGTACATACGTACATGCATACATATGTACATACATACGTACATACATACATATATGTATGTATGTATGTATGTACGTATGTATGTACATATGTACATACATACATACATGTATGTATGTACGTATGTATGTACGTATGTATGTACATATGTACATACATACATACATGTATGTATGTACGTATGTATGTATGTACGTATGTACATACATACATACATACGTACATACATACATACATACACACACACACATTTAAATGTATTCTGTATGCGACAGCGTTCCCCATGAAGCTGAATCTGTCTGACTTCTTCATCCGCCCCATAAAGAGGAGAAGGAACCCGCTGAGACAGAAGGTGAAGTCCATCAGCTGCTGTGTGTTCTACTGTTTAATGGTGAATGTGTCCTTTAAGTGAAGACATGTCGTCCCTCTCGAGGTCGCCTTACGACGCTTTCATTCAGCACGAGGCGGCGGTGGAGACGCTAACCAGAGCTCGGCCTCGGGGTCGAGTATTGATCCGATCGTTCTTCTTGCCGCCGGCGTCCCTCTCTGTTGATTGATCGCCATCCGATCGCTAACAAACCATCAGTCAGCCAATTACTGAAGTGGACGTGACGACTCAGAGTGGGCGTCGCCAGCGGTGTTCAGAGCGAACAGAGCTGCAGTTTCCTTTCTTTCTCTTCTGGCTTGAATTGACGGTTTTGAAAGTTATTTACGAGCTTTGCAAACCTGTAATTTGTAAATGTCACGTGTGTCACTCAGAAACCCTCTTCTCTTTTTACTGAACTAAAAGTAAAGTTATCATCAGCTTCAGACCTGCTGCCTTGTTTTGGAGACTTTTGTTTGATTTTCCGCTTTAAAAGGAAATTAGATACTTTATTTATGTATTTCTTTCCTCGTGGTCTATAGTTATACATGTCTTTATAATTAACCATTCAACTGAAGTTATTAAAGCATGAAAAATAAAACATTCGGACCGCAGCAACATGCTGCATCACAATGAGTCGTTATTAAATGTTTGTAACGTCTCAGATAAGAACTTTACTTTCTTCAGTCCAAGAAGAAAGAAAGAAAGAAACAAGATTTAGTGATAAATAAAGATGATGAAAATATAGAAAAATGTAAATAAAATCACATAATGTAGATATAAACACGATATACTATACTTTCACTTATTGCACTGAGTAATTGTACTGGATTACTGGTTACATTGGTGTGTACTCGTTAACTAAAACTCCAGATTGTACCACTAAGCATTATGAATATAGAGTGCTTATATTTATAATTATACAGCGCTGTGAACAGATTATATAAGTATGTTTATAATGTGTTATAGAAATGAGAATCATAGAAGTGTTACCCTTATATTTCTCTTTATAATAATCATAATAATTAGTACAGACTTCTCACTTTGCTGCAGAGAAAAATCACATTTTTATTTTAAATATAAAATAATGCAGCGTGTTCTACGTCTCCATCACGTGTTTGGAGTAATAAATGTGATAATTAACGGAAGAGCAGAACAGAAGGAAGAACCTCGTGTTCTGAATATATGAAGAAGTTGAAGTAACTTTGAAACTTGGACTCTCATAGTTTATCAGAGATGCTGAGGCCTGAAGTTAGCTTCTTCTTGGGACTGACAGCACAATGAGCTGAGTTTCTGCTGACTGTGCGAATGTGTCCGAAGTGAACAAACACACTCAGCTGCTGCAGCTCACATTTCTAAATTCGTTCTATTCGTCTTCATTCTTTAATTCCTCGACCCGTAATCCCGTCAGTACAACGCCCGTCGTGACACTTTCCTCTGTTCGCTCACGGATTCCTTCCACTCGCTGCTCTTTGTCCTGCACAGATGTTTCCACATTAAAAGCCTCCCAGCAAGCTGCAGCTGCACAATCACTGGCCCCGTTTCTCTGGAGTGTTGTTCTGAAGTTCAGCACCACACCAAAGAAAATTAAGCCTCTTTAAGTTCCTTTTTCTGTTTTCACTGCATTTATTTTGACTTTTTCTATTTTAAATATATCAAATATGAAAAGTGAAACTAAAACTGTTATGTATGACTTTGCACGATTTAGATTATTCCCACTTTAGTTGGGCTTTGGATTTTCGTGCTACTTTACTACTTTTACAGCAACGTTCATTGAAACACATTTCAGTGCGAAGTGAAAGTAAAAGATCGGGAACGGACGTAGCTGGAGCGTTCACAGACGTTTCTAGAGGCGAACTTATCAAGAATTAACAATATGCTAAATATTTCTGATTACCGGGAGACTCTTTCAAAGACCTGCGGGCTGCAATGTGAACGCAATAGTTCTCGTTACAGAGATGTAAAAATTTTACGATCTGAATCTGAAGTCTGATATTTCAGTTTGAATTATTTACATTTAGAAACACATGTTATGAAGCAACGTATCTGCACACAAGGGTTCGTATGATATCCTACCAACGTTTTTGTGCGTTTTCCTAAGAAAGTTCAGCAACACGTCATTTCAGCTCGTTATATGAATAAAGTCTTTTCAAAATAAACTACCATGTTCACAGGAAACACAGTTAGGTTGAGGCAACAATACTACGTTGTTATTTAGCTTTAGGAAAAGATCGGAAATAGTTAGCTTTAGGAAAAGATCGGAAATAGTTAGGTTTAGGAAAAGATCGGAAATA